CGGCGCCCAGTCCCAGAAGCAGTGCAAGAAATCCTCCTTCGCCTTCTACCAGGCGGTGAGGGACCTGCTGCCCGTCTGGTTCCTGGAGGACATGCGGACCATGGAGGCCTTCCACTGGGAGGACGGGGGCAAGGTGAGCGTGTACACACCCTCGGAGGCCCTGCTCTATGCGCTGGTGCACGACCACCAGCCCTACGCCCAGCACCTGCTGACTAAGTTCCCCCAGAGCGCCCTGGCCGTGCCCAGCCAAAGCTTCAGCTGCTGCCAGTCCTCAGCCCCGCACCTGGCCATGGCCGTCCGCTATAACCGGGTCCGCATCCTCTTCCGAATCCTCAAGGCCATCCAAGCCTTCCCGCTGAGCGACAGAGCCGGTTACCTGGACCGCCGGGGCTGCAGCCGCGTGGAGGGCGGCAAGACAGCCTTGCACGTGGCCTGCGAACTGGTGCGACCCGAGTGCTTGCTGCTGCTGCTGGGGCACGGCGCGTCGCCCTGCTTGCAGGACAGTGCCGGGAATACCCCCCTCGACACGTTACTGCAGCAGATCTCCCACACGCCAGCAGCTAACGTGCGTGCCAAGCTCCTCTGCCTCGACTGCCTCTTCTTCTTCATGCCTCAGGACCTTCAGTTCACAATGAAACAGCAACTGTTGGACAACCGGCAGCGGTGGCAGGACCTCCTGGGGGAGAACAGGTTCCAGTGCCTCCTGGGCTTAGCTCCCCCGTCGCTGTTTGTCGGAGCCATGCGTGTCTTGATCAGGACCATCTCACCTGAGCATTTCCCAGAGGCTCTGGACAATCTGCCTCTGCCTCATTTTCTAAAGCCTTTGGACTTGAAACTGGAGAGCTAGAGGGGTGGTATGACAGCTCACCTGACAGAAATAGACTGTTGTGCTAAAAATGTATCGGTATATGAAGCTGCTAATGCAGCAGCCAAGTATCTGTTTTAATTAGAACTGTCTTTTTTAAAAAAAATTATGTACCTGGCACTTTTCAATATATTTTATTTAAAGATTGTTGTGGTGAGGTGAGGTCTGCACTGCATTTTATAAAAACACTCTATGGCATGTACAAATGAGGGTATATGTGGGAGACTATATTTGTAAATACATCTGAATAAACCAGTGGCAGATGTGATCCAAATACAAACTGAGCAACTGAAAACCCTGAAGTGGCATGTGCCTTGGAAGAGAGTGTGTGGGGTGGGGGAGTATCTCTTCGTTAGGATTTCCCTGTTACATAAGCCTTGGTCCTGGAACAGGATGACTCCTTTTTTACATCTTGGCAGGGATGCGGGTTTTTTTTAAAGGCACAGATGAAAACTTCCTCATCTTGTACACAAGACCAAAGAGAAGCCAGATACTATTGAAACTTCCCTAAACGAGGCTGGCAGAGATGTACAGCTGAACAAAATATATTTTAAAATATGCACAAATAACAGTTGGTTTCCTTGCAGAGTTCCCTCTTGGAGAGCCAAGGTGCTGCTTGTCAGGCAGAGGAGAGCAGGAATACACACATTGCTCTGGCCAAAAACATTCCTGCCCTGACAGGAAGGGACCCTCTGTGATTGCGGCAGGGTGAGGAGTGTAGCACGGAGCAGGGGGACCAGCCTCCTTGTGCCTGCCCTCTGCTGTGCCCGGTGGGATTGATGTAGGTATGGCAATGGCCTGGCCCCCTCGAACAGCTTTTTTCTGTGGATTTCAGCCCCCAGCAGGATGTGATGACTTGGGGGTCTACTCTAGGTACCAGAGGAGTAGCTTAGATATCCAGCTTTCCCCCAACTATCCCTTCTGAGATGCTCCAAGGTACACAAGACATCTCCACAGCTGCTCCAGATGAAAAAGCCCTTTAGGGGTAATATCCTGCCTCCAACACTTGTGTTTAGACACATCAAAGTCCTGAGCAAAGGGTACAGCTTCGATTCTTTGCTCTGCAACCTTTACTCTACAGCATTCTGGGCTGTCAGGCTGCTTCCCTGTAAAACTGGCACTGCCCCTGCCTGCTCTGCAGGGAGTGAGCTGCGCCGCCTCCACCAGCATTGCCTTGATAGAAATCTCCTAGGCCACAGCGCTGTAGCTTTGCCTCTGTTGTTGCCAGTTGTCAGTGAAACTGCAGGGTTTTGTTTCATTGCTTAAATTTGTAGCCAGTGAGTTGTTTGCCATTTGAACTATTTCAGCACTGTTGGTCCCTTTGGGGTCATCAAGGAACTCGTGCTCAGAGAGAAGAGGCCATGTTCAAGGCACATATTTTTCTATTTGTGAATTAATTTTGGTTAGGGGAAAAAAAACACAGAATGAGGCACTATAAGCTGTTCATGCTTCAGCAGAACAGAGTGGTATTTCATCTAAAATAATCTCCATACTGCATGCACAATAAGAGATAAGCCATACTTCTGAAATTTGACATGCAACAGAAAGAAGATTGCTATTCTTAGACTGATGGCACCAAAAATGTTTCCTAGAAGAGCAAATGTTCCCTTTTCCCAAGAAACCAAGCTGATACGTGCTCAAACTAATTACCATGGGAAATTTAGGTCCCTTGCTAGAAAGCATAGAACAACTCTAACTGGTCTCTTCAGCTACCTTGTTGATAATAAAAATACAGAAATCCAAAGAACTAATCCCTTGCTTAACTGCTCAATAAAAAAAAAAATTAAAATTTAGCGACATAGATTTTGAGTACATGTTCCCCACTGCTGCTTTAATAATGGTGTGGAAGCATCTTCCAAACCAAATGAGAAGTAAAGCAGTCAGACCTGACTCGCACATGGAAAAATGTCTTGAATTGAGGGAAGAGACAGAGCTGGGGCTGGGAGGAAAGGTTTCTCAGCCTTGCTGACAAAGACATAATGAGATTCAGCAGTGGGGAGTTGGTCAGTTGAACTGAGCACAGAAATCCGAAGAACTAATCCCTTGCTTAGCTGCTCAATAAAAAAAAATTTAAAATTTAGCAACATAGATTTTGAGTACATGTTCCCCACTGCTGCTTTAATAATGGTGTGGAAGCATCTTCCAAACCAAATGAGAAGTAAAGCAGTCAGACCTGACTCGCACATGGAAAAATGTCTTGAATTGAGGGAAGAGACAGAGCTGGGGCTGGGAGGAAAGGTTTCTCAGCCTTGCTGACAAAGACATAATGAGATTCAGCAGTGGGGAGTTGGTCAGTTGAACTGAGCACTGGAAGACGTTCCAGCTCCCAAGCTGTGAGGGTAATTACACATTGGAACAGCATAACAGGCTGGGCAGGACATCCTGCACCTTAAAATGAGCCCGTTAACAAAACAAGAATTCAAGGGCAAAGCTGCCCCTGTGATTCCCTACAGCCCTCCCGCCAGCTCTCCAGTAATTCACTTCAGCGGACAGAAAGGGTCCCCTCACTACGCTGCAATGGGTCCCAAGTCAGGTAGCTGTTGTGCCCCTCATGTTATTCGAGGACAGAAGTCAAGCCTATTGCCGAGCCCATGCTGGGATCACGCTGCTGAAGGTCACTGACGGACCTCACTACGTGTGGCTCATTGACATGTCTGGGATGCTTAAACCAGAGAGGCTGAGAGGAACTGTGGGCAAACTACACCAGTGACTACACAGATCACTCACCCAACGGGGTCCAGGCTTGTTTTTCAAACAGAGTCACAGCTTGGAAAAAGGCTGGGGCTTCTCGGCTTTGGAAACCGAAGTCCTTTGTTTATAGACCAAGCAACAGCGGCATCAGCTTTCCTCAAACTGACTTGCCAGCATGTCTCTGTCCTCTGCCACCTTTGGAGCACACTGGAGGGCAGGCTCGACAGCCCGTTCAGCTCTCCGTCTCCTGGCAAAGGCTGCCAGCAAAAACGCCAATTAGTTGCAACACCATTGACAAGCTTAATAAAGCAAACATAGGCAGTCACCATGTCTCTGCAGAAGAGGGCTGCCAGTGCTAGAGTCAGGCAGCTGGTCCCAAGGATATGGGAAAAAAAGATTCCCCAAAGTCCTAACAGCACGTGAGCACAGGCGTAAGGATATATACTTAAAAGCTTCTGCCTTACCTGCACAGGTTAATCTAGTCACACAAAGGAAATTACTCATCTGTACAAAATGCTTTCAAATGCATATAAGGCAGTATATAGAGCCAGCATTCCTGAAAAGCTTAGTTACAGCCAGTTCCTCTAAACGGCTACTTTCTATCATGAAACAGTGATGAAACATAATAAATATTTCCCACCTGTTGCTCAAGCACTTTCAAAAGAAAATATTCATATCTACCCACCTTTTAGTACAAAGCGGCTTTATTTGCCGTGACAGGTGAAAAAGGCCTGAAACACTTTCCTTCGGAAAGCAAGGGGAGAGAATAAGTACTGGGTTACTTTTATTTCTGACTCTTTGCAATTGACTCCTCTCTGCAGCTCCCTCAAACATTTCAGGAATTACAAAGTTTAGCCTGTCTAGTGTCTGCTGAAGGAGCTGAAGTCTACTGTAATTTTGAGTAACTCTCTTAAAATATGGATTTGGGATCTTTAACAGTCGTCTTTTACCCAAAATATTGAGTAGTTACAGAATTTAAATTGATGTGAACACAAAACTAGGTGCTTTAAATAGTCTTTAAAAAAATCCCTTACTATAACATTTGTCTCAGTCTTGCTCTCTGATGTACTGTCCTGCCATAAAAGCTGCATCCTTGTTCTTGCCATGGTCACAGCCTGGTATGAGCGTTGCCAGAGGTGGGCACCTTAAACTTCAGTGTGTTTTCAACATTATTCTCATACCAACTCCAAAGCACAGCACTATACCAGCTATCGGGAAGAAAAAACAACTCCATCCCAGACAAAACCAGGACAGTTTAGCAGAAGATGCAGGTATTAAATACACCAGAAAATCACTCCTTTCATTAAGATGTATCGATATAGAATATCAAGTTTAACACTCAGCACTGCACGAAGAGTACCTGCTGCAAACAGGTAAAGGTTTCATACAGTGTCAGAGGGAGAGGAAGGGGACTGTTAATGAACAGGCTCCTCCATGTAGACAAGCCTTGCAAACTAAACCAAACTAAAACAAAGGCATTAAGTAAAGGAGAAAAGGAAGCAGGAAGCCACCGAGAGCAAGACCTGCAGGGAGAGGAGGCCTTGGCTGTAGGTAGGGCTGCAATTACAGACTGTTCTGAAAATGAAGTCGAAAATAGCAAGGACAAAGATCCAGCACAGAGGCATGGAAAGACAGAGACTAGAAATGGGCCAGGGTGCCAAGTTTGTTTCCTAATCCCTATTTGTCCGACGTCTGGTGTCCAAGTTGTATGGGTTTTTGATTTGCAATATAACGCATCTATTGACATCAGCAGATCATTGTGCATTGCATCACCCCATCTTCAGATCAATGTTCCCCACTAGACAAACAAAGCACCCATGCCATGTGCTTAATATTTAAACAGCACTGTAAATCCTTGCAAACCAACTTTTGTAACACCTCTGTTAATAACAGCACTTCCATCACCGGTTGGTGTCAGAAGCTCCCTGAGCTTAGATCACCGTTAATTCCCAGCCTGGCTTCAGTGGTCTCTCCTCCACCTACCACGTGTGAAAAAGAAACTCTGCCTATTACTTGCTCAGGCTACATCAAACTGTCCTCTACTGTCATGTACAAGAATGACATCTATGGTGTTGCAAGGCTGGTGCTTGCACTGATCTACTCCTGCTCTTTCCACCAAGCAGGTATACGTGCATGTGCAGCACAAGAAGGGAAGGAGCAGAGCTCTCTTGCAACATGTAACTCTTCAGTCATAGCAGAAAACAGAAATACAGTTTGCAAAAACATCAGAGGTCCCTCACTGCTGCTAAAAGAAATGGATCCAAGTTCAGCTGGGATACAAAGGTTCCCCTCACTTGCCCTGATGACCTCTGCAAGGACTGGTATCTCTTTGCCCAGTGGTTTAGTTGATGAACGGAAAGAACACGTAAATCAACAAAGCAAATCTTCAGAAGCCTCAAATGATGAGAAACTCGTCACACTTAGGAATTATTGCTAAAGTCAAAAGAG